CAGAGAGCTCGCTCCTTCCTTATTTCAAATGCTCGGTCTGCAACTCAGCGCACAGTGCATCTTATATTGCTGTTGGCTGGACTTATTTTTTTTCCCCCAGATTGTTGAGCAAAATAAGAATTTGTTACCAAGAAGTAAGCTATTTTGCTTAAAGCATGCCAGCCAGACTTGGTCCCTTTGAGGTTTTCTGCTTGGCAGCCAGACAAATGTGCACTTTTGGAGCCCTGGGCACATGTGGTCTGTTAGGCCTATCCCGGTGCTTGAAAAGACAGAACAAGTATCGCTGTGTATTGTTGTGTATCATCGTGACCCACTGTGGATGAAAGCAGTTGCTGACATCTCTTTGATTACAGTAAAGTGACACTGTAGGAATCCGAGCAATTTCTTCTAATTTGGATTCTAGCTGTGCAAAATATAAATTCTACCCAGGGAAGATGGGGTAAAATAGATGACCAAAATACTAATATCTAAATAGGCAATTTCTTTGTGCTGGGTGCAACTGTTTAATAACACTCATGAGCTACTTGCCATGTTTTATCGTTTCTTGAAGATAATACTACATGATGGGCTTCTGCCATCCTTTCTTAGCAATAAAGGTAGTCCTCATTTAGCAACCACAATTGAAATTGGCAGCTCTGTCCCTGAGCAAAGTAATCACTAAGTGGGAAATCATGTGAACCTGACTGTGCTTTTCTTTTCTTCACTCCCTACCATTTCAAATTCTTACCTCGGAGCTGGGATAATGAAAAAGAAGGGAAATAATGCTTGCATGTACATTTATTGGAGAGGAAAGGATTATAAGAGAGTACATAGACCCACAGTAAGGAATACACATAGAAGACAATGTGCCGATGCCGGCAGCCAAGAATGCACTATGCGAGCACTCCAATGTATTTTCTATTGTGCACCTGCTTACTCTCTTACAATCCCTTCCTCGCCAATCTCTCTCCTTTGCAAGGAAGCAGATTCTGGTTAAATGATAGAAAGGACATCATAATGATACAGACAATTCAACCAATCTGCAGAAAAGACAGTAAAATCCCCTAAACTGAATGGAAGTGAAGACCAGAGGAGTCATCTGCCAAAGATACTTACTCTTGATTTCTTCCTTAGTCAGAAAGTTGGATTCTGTTTCTTAAATGGCGCCTTTCTATGATTCTATAACTCTTGTGATACAAAGCTCAGTTTTTCAATCTTGTATCTCTGCTGCCATCTTGTGACACACAATCAGCACAATCTTATTCAAGAGTTTTCTTTGTTAACCAGATCCTCTTTTTTCTGTAATGGGCTTCTGTCTCATGGTCTTGTCTTAACAATGATGTCACCTCCTTTGGGTAATGAAATTTTCATTGTGGTTGCCACTGCTTCGTTTGTGGTGAAAGCAGAGCCTTAATTCTGTCCATCTATTGGGTGAACAATTTTTCAGGCATAAAGGGAATATCTCTCTCCCCCCCCCCACAAAGAACTGATGTATATGTTTTGTGCATCCATCAGCCCCAAATTTTTCCTGTATGGTATGATGAAGTAAATCTCCAAAGAGGCACAATCAGTGGTGGTATTCAGCCGGTTCGAACTGGTTCGGGCGAACCGTTAGTGTTGTGGTCCGCCAGCAGCCTGCGGAGCTGGCAGCAGAGTCGGACAGCAATGAGGCTGAGGAAGAACATGGGCCAGTCCTGGAGGCTGGGGAAGGCCCGGAGGAGGGCTCTGCGTCGGATGCAGAGATGGGGCCAGGGCCATCGGGGAGTGATGTGTGGACTCCAGAGCCTCCTGAGGCTGGCAGCAGAGAGGCAGAGGAACAGGAGGAGCCTGTTCCTAGTGCACGCATGAGAAGAGCTGCCAGAAGGCAAGAGCAGCTAAAGCAAAAAGGATGACTTGGGAATAAGGCCAAGAGATGATTGGCCACGCCCATAAGGCTTAAAAAACCAGCAACGGCTCTTGGGCTCTTTGTCGGAAAACAACGTTGATATATTTGTTTCTTGTCTTGCTGCATTTATTTCTTCTTGGCGTCTTCTGCTTCTGAACCTTTGCCAAGAAAAGTCTTTGGCAAGTTGCCACAGCAGACCAAGGTTGGTAATAAGGCTGAAGAATTATGTTATGAAGAATTTGTTTTGATTTAGTTTGGACTACGCTGATAATGAGTTAATTCTGCTAATAAATTCTGTTTGTTTAGAACTGATTGTGTCTGATAATACCTACTTCGGCCTAGGTCACAACAGTTAGTGGCAACCTGCGGTTGGGTGCCCCGGTGCTATGCCGTTCTATTTAGCCACAATTTCAAAGCCACACACATGTGTGCACGCACTCACATTTTCGGTGCTGAGTGAACCGGTTGTTAAATTATGTGAAATCCTCCTCTGGACACAATATTCCTGAACCATATCATAATTCCTACTCCTCAACCTGGTCCATCTAAGTCCCAACAGAAGCAAAGGTAAAACATAAAAGCTTTCTCAGGTTGAACTCCATTCCTGGAAATTTCCTAGGGATAAGCATCCGGTTTTCTTGGAAGAAAAGAAAGGCTCCAAGAGAAAGCTTTAACATGGGGCCCAATCGTGTCTTTGGATTTTGCATTGTCATAGTTTCACCTCCAAATTCTAATCCGTGTAACTGCTATCAATGTAGCTCTTCTTTGTTTTCCTTCCCTTTGAGGATTTTCCAAAGCACCCGAAAGCCAGACAAGGAATAATGGATGGAAACTGAACAAGGAGAGATTCAACCTGGAAATAAGGAGAAATTTTCTGACAGTGAGAACAATCAAGAAGAGAGCATTTGGGAGTTGTGGAAGCTTCATCACTTGAGACTTTCAAGAAGAGATTGGACTGCCATTTGTCAGAAACGGTGTAGGGCCGTGATGGCGAACCTGTGGCATGCGTGCCACAGGTGGCACATGGAGCCATATCTGTGGGCATGCGAGCGTTGCCCTAGCTCAGCTCCAGTGCACATGCGTGCATCGGCCAGCTGATTTTCAGGCCTTCCGGGCCCACCGGAAGTTGGGAAACGACCATTTCCGGCCTCCGGGAGGGTGGGGGAGGCCATTTTCGCCCTTCCCAGGCTCCAAGAAAGACTCTGGTGCCTGGGGAGGGCAAACAATGGGCCTACCGGGCCCACCGGTAACCTGTTTGCCGTTGCATGCCAAAAGCGGTGGGAGCACAGAGGGGGATCATGCGCACACATGCAGAGGGGCAAAAAAAAGAATTATGGGTGTGGGCAAGCGTGCGCGCGACCCCTTCACGTGCTCCCCCTGCTTTTGGCACGCAATGGCAAAAAGGTTAGCCATCCCTGGTGTAGGGTTTCCTGTTTGGGCGGGGGGGTTGGACTAGATGACCTACAAGGTCCCTTCCAACTCTGTAAATCTGTATCGGTATCTGTATCTATATCTGAAGCCTTTTGTCCTACAAGTTCTGTCCTTTTTCTTCACTGTCCTGTAGTATAATGGTATTTGAGAATGACCTTGGGGGACAGATGTTAGAACCTGTTCTAAAATTAGCTTTATACCAAATACCACCCCAAAATCTGCTACAAGGAAGGACAGTGTGGGTAGCTTTTTTAAAAAATAAATCTCCAAGGAGTGCTTCTAAATTATATATACATCTATCTTCAGAGGCTAAACATGCTGGGAAGAGATCCGGGGATTCTACAGCTTTTGACAAGGAGGCCAAAGGACTATTTGAAAGACAGCAGTGCCAAAGCCATTCTGGATCGCAGCCAACGAAATTTGATGCCGTGTCCCCAGTCACCAAGAGTTGAGCTCAAGTTGATGGGGTCTTTATCTTTTTACAACCAAAGCTCAAAGGAAAAGCCCCTTTTGGAGATAAGCCCATTATTAATGAAAGGAAACCTGGCATTATACGCTCTTGGAAAATGTGTTCGAAAAGTTGATTCAGCTTTAAAGCAGTAGATGTCACTCTACATCTTCCCATGATAGGAAGAACACACATTTCATCTCCCTCCCTCCTTCCCTTTCTCTCTGCTGCGGCTTGCTGCTTTCCATTTGAGCTTTCTCAGCTTGGTTTTCTCAAGATCCCAGAATAATATGGAAATCTTCTCTGAAGACCGCATGGGACAAGAGAAAGAAGGTGATGGTTTACTAGGGCTTTCATGTGGCAAAGGGGAATATTAGTAGCTCAGGGTTGAAACGAGGGGTCCTTGATGCTCTCTGAGCTTGCTTGTTTTCTTGAAGATGTTGCATGACTCGAACCTGTTGCCTAGTTCAGATAATGAAACATAACAGAATAAGAGAGTTGGAAGGACCTTGTAAGTCATCTAGTCCACCCCACCCACCCACCCAAGCAGGAGACACCCTACACCATTTCTGATAAATGGTAGTCCAGTCTCTTCTTGAAAGTTTCCAGTGATGAAGCTCCCACAACTTCTGTAGGCAACTTCTGTTCCATTGGTTGATTGTTCTCACTGTAAGAAAATTCCTCCTTATTTCCAGGAATCTCTCCTTGATCAGTTTCCATCCATTCTTCCTCGTCTGGCCTTCAGATGCTTTGGAAAATAGCTTGACCCCCTTCCTCCTCTCTGTGGCAACCCATCAAATATTGGAAGACTGCTCTCATGTCTCCCCTGGTCCTTCTCTTCACTAGACTAGCCATGCCCAGTTCCTGCAACCGTTCATCATATATTTGAGCCTCCAGTCCCCTCATCATCTTGGTTGCTCTTCTCTGCACTTTTTCTAGAGTCTCAACATCTTTTTTATAGGGTGGTGACCAAAACAAGCAAGCCCAGAGCCTTCATGTTCACATGCTATGCTTGGGCGCCAGTAAAATAGATCTGAAAATGTTATTTGCAAGAATAGTTCCAGGAAGAAACTCAGCAGTTGTGAGTTGAGTGGTTGAATGATGAATCCACCCTCTTGTGTCAGCGTTCACAAAGAAGCAGGTGCTTTATTCATTAAATAGCAACAAATTCACGATCCGGACTTTTCCTGAAAAAGAAAAAGGTTGAAGTGCAATAGAAGTCAGCTCTTTAAGGTAGTTCAGACACGAAACCACAAGTACTAACACCACCTTTAATGTAAGGTTACAATAACAGAATCTTGCATGTCTGAAGGGCTCTCCCACCCTCCCCTGCCTTTATGTCCCCAAGAACACGGGAGGGTCCCTTCTGAGCTACTTTGTCTACTCCAGTGGTGGTATTCAGCCGGTTCTATCCAGTTTGGGCGAACCGGTAGTGGCGGCGAGAGGCTCCGCCCACCCACCCAGATGTCATCACATCCTGTTTCTGACGCTGTGCGCATGCACTCACATTTGCGAACCGGTAGCGAAGGTAAGTGAATACCATCTCTGGTCTACTCCCATTTTTGCTCTGGACCAGGTCTTCAGGGCCTTGTGAAAGAGTGTCAAAATGGAGGCCAGTCTATTATCTGTAGGGATGATGTACCGAAGGAAGGGAGCCACCACGGAGAAGGCCCTTGTTCTGGGTCCCGCCAGATGTATTCCATACTCATCCCATTACATCAGAGACGTTACTGAACTACAGAAAAGTAAAGGGGAGATTTGATAGAGCATGAAAGGAACCCCATTGGGAGAGGAAAAAGGTGAGCTTGGGCAACCTTGTTTCTAATTTCTTTCCACCTGGAGCAGCAAAGAAACTTTGCATTGTTTTGTTTTTTTTAATGACTCTGTAATCCCTCGTATTGGGGTGAAGTCGGGAATGGAGCTTAGGAATTTACTGGTCGGATGCCCTTCCTAATGCCTACACAGAGTTTGCAGCAGAGAATTACTCATAAACACCTGCCACTGCCTAGGATCGAACTCATAGCCTCCTGAGTATGAGGCGAGAGCTCCGCCTCTAGGCCACCCACGCCGCTTGTTGTATTTTCTTATTTGAGGAGCTTCAAAAGAAACTCCAAGAAAATGTCGGCAACCACAAAAGGACCATCACGGCCGCCAGGAAGACCAGAGCTGCATTTCTGATGATGTGTTTTTCCGAGGACTTGCTAAACCTTTGGCCGTGACCATGGGCTTGGAACCACTCCACCACTTCGCACAGGCTGTAATGCTGAGGTTCGTAGTCCAGCTCCCTTCTAGCTTTGGCTATGCTAAAAAAATGGGTCATGCCGGTTTTGTAAACTTCGGTGCGAGTGAGGAGGGGTTGAAAGTTGTACAGGCGTCCCACTGCAACATGGACCAGTTCTGTAACAAATGCAAAGAAGTAAACAAGTGACAGGGGGAGGCGGAGAGAGGGGTAGGTATATCCTAAACCTTCCACCAAAGGGCGGAAGAATTCAAAATTATTGACTGGCCTCCCATCAGAAATGAAATAGGCTTGGCCAGCAGCTGCATGGTTTTTGGTGGCACCCAGAGCCTCTGCTGCTAAAATGTGAGCTTGCACCAGGTTATCTACATGCACAAAGTCCACCAGGCTGCTAGGATTCCCGTACACACACCGGAACCATCCCTGCTCAATGTAGTTGACAATCCTTGGAAGATGCCTCTGCTCTCCTGGTCCATAAATGCCAGCAGGTCTTATGGCGCAGGTTCTCAAAACTCCCTGACCATCCCTTAGGACTGTCCCATTGGCCTCCAGAACTTTCATTTCAGCCAAAGCTTTGGTCCTTGAGTAATGATCAGGGTGAAGATGGAGGGGTAGATAAGGCCAAGATTCATCTCCATTTTCTATGACTTGACCTCCAAAGACCACATTGTATGTGCTTGTGTATATAAGTTTGGAGATTCCAACTTTCCTGCAAGATTCAATGATGTTGTTGGTTCCTTTGACGTTCACCTCTTCTATACGTTTTGGGTTGAGCTGCTCCCGGCCAGACATTCCATAGGAAGCAATATGGAAGACACAGGACACACCCTGGAGTGCTTCTTCCACTTTGTGGATCACACAGATGTCACCTTGCACAAATTTCACACCTTTGGGCATCTCTTGGGTAGGCTTGGAAACATCAAACAGGATCACATCCACTTTGCCCTTGGCTAAAGCTGAACCCAACCTGGAATACAACAAGAAATACAGCTGCTGAGGACAAGAATGAGGGTTGCAACTTTTAAGCAGCAGATCAATCAACGAAAGCTTCAGTGGGCAGGGCTGGTGTGTTATTCTGAAATCTACCAAAATAGTAGAGGTGGTTCTCATTTATTAAGCTCCTTCACACACCAATGGAGGCTCACACACAATGGGAAAGAGAGAGAGAGAGGGGGGGGGGACGGAGAGAGAGAGGGACAGAGAGGGAGGGAAAGAGAGGAAGAGAGAGAGAGGGAGGGGGAGAGAGAGGGATGGAGAGGGAGGGACGGAGAGGAAGAGAGAGGAAGGGAGAGAGAGAAAGGGAGGGAAAGGGAGGGAAGGAGAGGAAGAGAGAGAGAGGGAAGGAGAGGGAGGGAGGGAAAGAGGGGGAGAGAGGAAGGAGAGGAAGAGAGAGGGAGGGAGGGAGAGGAAGGGAGAGAGAAGGAGAGAGATGGAGGGAGGGAGAGATGGAGAGGGAGAGAGGGAAGGTGGGAGAGGGAGGGAGAGAGAGGGAGGGAAGGAAGGAGAGGAAGAGAGAAAGAGGGAGGGGGAGGGATGGAGAGAGATGATAGATAGATGATAGATAGATAGATAGATAGATAGATAGATAGATAGATAGATAGATATGTTTGTATGTGTACAGAACACGAGCCAATTTGGATGCATAAATACAATTTTCCAAAGGCTGTAATTACCAACATTGCAATTTATTCGCAAACAAACAAGTGCAATTCTTCGTGGAACAAATACTAACCGAAAACCAAAATATCCACTTCCGCCCGTAATGAGGACAGCTTCCTTGTTGGGATTTTCTCTTTCCATGTCCCCGCCCACAGTCCTAAACTATAAAGGAAGAGAAAACATGACATAACCTTAGTGCGCACAACATGCAAGTCGTAACTTGTGTTTCGTATTTTATTTTAGGTTTATGTTTTCTTATTGCGTCTTTTGAATCCAAAGCCTTTCAGCAAGCAGTAAAATGCCTCCCTGGACTTAAAAACTTTTTGCAACCCAGCCCTTACATCTGAGACTCAGAAAGGAGGCAGTTTTCTTCTGTGTGGATTTTACAGTTTGTTTTCTCATTTTGCTAAGTAGCCATAGATTAGTATAAAACAGGCTTTTCTAAGTAATTTATGACGATGAAAAGCCAACTTTTCCCCAACTGCAAGTGGACTGGACTCCCGTTAAAGTGGGCCACGTTATTTAGGCTTACATAACATCTCGTCTGTTCAATGTTTACACGCCCCAAGTGCATGAATCGATCTCTGGGGTGGTGGGAGGTATTCTGCATGTGCTTCAAACATTCTTGTTTAATGATCTACCTTGGGGTCCAAACTCTTCTGTCCTTGGCCAAGCAATTCGCATTTCACAAAAACAAAAAACAGACGAGTTTCTAAAATGAATTGGATCCCAGGAACATTCATTCAAAATGGGACTTCCCTAAAGGGGAAGAGTCTCCCTAACCAGGATCTCCTCTTGTTCTCCACAAGCAGGAAGGTTTGGGGATGATGGAAGCTGTAGTCCAGCTGCACGTTTGGAGACGCTGATTTGGGAGGAAGGCATTGTAGGCCAGAAGAAGCCAACGGGGTGCCTCCGCAGTGTTTTGAAATGACACCAACCCTGACAGTCGTAGCTGGAGCCAAGTCCCAAAACATCTGGAGAACATCAAGGTATCTTCTTTCTCCAGCCCTATCATCAGTGTCAACCACCACTTGCTTACCTTTTGGACACTGGAGGTGATGGGACCTGTGGTCCAAGTCCACCTGGAAGATGCTGGGGCTCTTATCTTCCCCCCCCCAGGCTGCGGATGATAGGTGTTGCAGTCCGCCGCGTTTTGGTGAAACGGGAGCGCCGGCTTCCCTAAGTTTCTCTTCGCTTTCCCTTCGCTGTCTCCGCCCCATCGCCCCATCATCTGATGAGAGGCGGATCCCGTCGCTCGCCCCACATTACGCATCTCCAGCTACAGGCTGTGGACAGCCCCATTCCCCTTTGCTGGGCATCCAAAGTCCGTTTCTGCCTTCAGCGCAGCAAAGTCTCCGGGTTAAAAAAACCCGCGGGCGCTGATCCATCGGAAGAAAGAGACTTGGCTCCGCGCGCCCGACTCTCTCTCTCTCGTTTTCCAAGTAGTTTTTTTTAGGACCTGGAGGGTGGGGGGTGGGGGGGGTTTCCGACATGACGCCTTCCAGCCCTTGCCTTCCATACAACAAGATGTCAGAGCGCGCAGACCGCGTGGGCTCCGCTCCTTTCGCGATCTTGAGTCGCCATCCTAAAGATTCTTCCACCTTCCTCTCCCCGCCCTTTCAAAGAGGCTGGTTGATTTTCCCACCCTCCCTCGACCCTTCTCCAAAATCTTTAGAATAGAATAATGGAGTAGGAGTAGGAGTTAAGAATAGAATAGAATAGAATAGAATAGAATAGAATAGAATAGAATAGAATGGAATGGAATGGAATGGAATGGAATGGAATGGAATGGAATGGAATGGAATGGAGTGGAGTGGAGTGGAGTGGAGTGGAATGGAATAAGAATAGAATAGAGAATACAAAAAAAGAAATCAAGAAATTCAAAGGTGAAAAAAGTAAGGTTTTACATTTAGGAAAGAAAAACAAAATGCACAGGTACAGTATAGATGGTACCTGGCTCAATAGTGGTGACTGTGAGAGGGACCTTGGAGTCCTAGTGGGCAACCATTTAAATATGAGCCAGCCGTGTGCAGCATCTGCCAAAGAAGCCAACACAGTTCTAGGCTGCATAAACAGATGGCTAGAATCAAGATCACGTGAAGTGTTAATACCACTTTATAATGCCTTGCTAAGGCCACACTTGGAATTCTGAATCCAGGTTTGGTCGCCACGATGTAAAAAAGATGTGGAGACTCTAGAAAGAGTGCAGAGAAGAGCAACAAAGAGATTAGGGGACTGGAGGCTAAAATATATGAAGAATGGTTTCTGGAACTGGGTATGTCTTGTTTAATGAAAAGAAGGAGTAGGAGTGACATGATAGCAGTGTTCCAATATCTCAGGGGCTGCCCCAAAGAAGAGGGAGTCAACCTATTCTCCAAAGCACCAGAAGGCAGGACAAGAAGCAAGGGGTGGAAACCAATCAAGGAGAGAAGCAATCTAGAACTAAGGAGAAATTTCCTGACAGTGAGAACAATTAACCAGTGGAACAACTTGCCTCCAGAAGTTGTAAATGTTCCAACACTGGAAGTTTTTAAGAAGAGATTGGACAGCCCTTTGTCTGAAATTATATAGGGTTTCCTGCCTAAGCAGGGGGTTGGACTAGAAGACCTCCAAGGTCCCTTCCAACTCTACTATTCTGTTTTCTGTTCTGTTTTCCTGACTGTGAGAACAATAAATCAATAATAATAATAATAATAATAATAATAATAATAATAATAATAATAATTTTATTTATATACCGCCCTTCTCCCAAAGGACTCGGGGCGGTGTACAACCAAGATTAAAAACATAAATATACAGTATCATAGTTAAAATTAATTAAAATCATTAAATAGTTTTGGCCAAATTTTAAAAACCCAATATTAAAACCCAATTTAAAATCATTCAGTTAGACAGCCCCGCCTGTCGGAACAGTAGGGTCTTGAGGGCACAGCGAAAGACCAGGAGGTCAGAGATCTTCCAGTAGTCTTAAATCAGTAGTCTTAAAGTTGCCAAGGTTGGAGACCCTTGTTCCAGAGGATGTGGGAGCTCCATTGCTGGAAGTTTTCGAGAAGACTGCACACCCATTTGTCCAGACTGGTATAGACTCTCCTCTCAAACAGGGGGTTGGACTAGAAGACCTCCAAAGTCCCTTTCAACTCTATTCTATGTGCTTCCCCCCCCCCATATTTTCTTGCGATAGGTGGCGATATTGCACCAAGTCACACCTGCTTGTTTTTCTTCTTTTTTTTTTAAGCAAGTAGAGAACAGCGTTTCTCAACCCTGACAAATTTTAGGTGGCCTTCAACTCCTAGAATTGCCTGGGGAAGTCTGGGAATTGAAGTCCGCCTATCTTAAAGTTGCCAAGACTGAGAAATGCTCCTCTAGAATGTTTTCCCTGGAGGACCAAGCACCAAGGAATGAAACAAAACTAGTTCTTTTATTTGCATTTTAAAAGTTACTGTCCTTTTGCAATGGTTTTGATGGCATGGTTCAAATTCTACGAGGAATTATTTCCTGGTTTGAGAGACTCATGGTGCCCCTCAAAGGGGAGTAGGCCCTGTTTTCAAAGGATAAGGTGCTCTAAGCTTTGTTTTGAAAGCAATTTCAAAATTGCTTTCAAAAGCAATTTCAGGTTTGCGTTGTATCTCGAGGGCTTTTGGGTTTTTTCCCTTCGTCCCAGACCACCCTCTGTTCTGAAACATCTGTTGATTGGTCTCCTCGGGAGACACGATACCTCCAGGTCTGGATCTATAAAAAGAAGAAGCGGATTTTCAGCTTCTTCGTTTTATTTTTAAAGGAAATATTTGTTCTATTGGAGATAAGTGAATCTTTTTTCCTTCATCCAGTGTAGCCATTTTTTTGGGGGGTGGGGGAGTGTTTCATGATCTATTTTCCAATCTTCCCTTATCGTATCTAAACATCCTATCCTTGACCCAGTTGCTGTTCCATAAATGAATTTATAGCAAGAAGGGAGAAAACCTATAAAACCAGTTCAATGGATTGGTGATGCATTCCAGAGCCATTTTACTTATTTATTTCCTTCCTTCCACATGTTGTAGGTTCCATTTCTGAGGAAGAGACTAAATATTGTCCTTCTAGGCTCGAAAATGGGGCCCTTAGCAGCTCTATTTGTTGCACGTGTCCTGATTTATTAAATCAGGTTTGTTGTTGTTGTCATGTCCAACCCATCGCGACCCCGTGGACAATGTTCCTCCAGGCCTTCCTGTCCTCTACCATCCCCCAGAGTCCATTTAAGCTCACACTGACTGCTTTAGTGATTCCATCCAGCCACCTCATTCTCTGCCGTCCCCTTCTTCTTTTGCCCTCAATCTTTCCCAGCATTATGCTCTTCTCCAGTGAGTCCTTCATTCTCATTAGGTGGCCAAAGGATTTGAGTTTCATCTTCAGGATCTGGCCTTCTAAAGAGCAGCCAGGGTTGATCTCCTCTAGGACTGATCTAGGTTTGATGACTTTGCAGTCCAAGGGACTCGCAGGAATCTTCTCCAGCACCAGAGTTCAAAGGCCTACATTCTTTGGCCCTCAGCGTTTCTTATGATCCAGATTTTCAGGTTTAGATTTCCTTACAACTCATCCAAAATTTCTCCAGGTATCTGGAGATAGCCCCTAGCCTTTGCCTCTGTTCTCAATGGTTTTTCTTTATCAATTCCTACCTTGTGAATAAAAACAACACATGGGTTGGATGACCACATATCCCATCTGCCTTGTTTTGCCTCTTGAAGATGATCCATGTTTCTGTGGGATTTCCACAGGAGAATTTAACAGCTGGTGAGTAGAGTGGAAAGTAAGAAAGGATAGTGTTGAAGTGTGGGAACATACATGACACCGTCCCACCCACAGGTGATCCATAACTTCAATCCACAATTGGAACCATCATTTCCATCATAAGACAATGCAGTTGTGAAGTTCAGTTGGGGCCTGATTTTCCCACAATTTTTCAGTTGTTGGTCCTTAAAGCAAATCACTGCAGCTCTTAAGCAAATCATGGCGCTGTTTAGCGAATCCAGCTTCCCCAATGGGAAATGTGCAAAGAAGGTCACAAGTCATGATTATGTGACCACCGGATGTCGCAATTGGTCATGGAATCCTGCATTCAGTTTTGGTCGCCACGATGTAAAAAAGATGTGGAGACTCTAGAAAGAGTGCAGAGAAGAGCAACAAAGATGATTAGGAGACTGGAGGCTAAAACATATGAAGAACGGTTGCTGGAACTGGATATGTCTAGTTTTATAAAAAGAAGGACTATGGGAGACATGATAGCAGTCTTCCAGTATCTCAGGGGCTGCCACAAAGAAGAGGGAGTCAAGTTATTCTCCAAAGGACCTGAGGGCAGGACAAGAAGCAAAAAAAAAAGAAAGCTAACTCCCTGCAGAAACCGTTGAATTTCTGAACTAAGCAAAGCTAGGCTTAATTTGAGAACCGGTGTCTGATATTTGTCTTGGATCTTAAATCTTTGTGGTATTTGGATTGGTTCCACCTTGGAGATCATTGTTTATCCTGCTGCACTAAGCTATAACATTTCCTTCCCTCTTCCTTTCCATCAAAATAAATAAATAAATAAATAAATAAATAAATAAATAAATAAATAAATAAATAAATAAATAAATAAATAAATAAATAAATAAATAAATCAGAAAGTCGCGTCCAGGATAGCTGTAGAGGTGAGGAGGACTCAAAACCGGGATAGGAATTATTCTCAATTACAGGTAATCCTTCACTTACAAGAGTTCATTTAGGGACCACTCAAAGAGACAGTGGCACAAGAGAAAAGCGACTAATGACCGTTGTTGACACTTAACAACCATCGCAGCATCTTCATGTTCTTGTGACCAAGACTCAGACACTTGGCAATGGACTCTTATTTATGATGGTTTGCAGTGTCCTGGGGTCATAGGATCCCCTTTGACAAGCAAAGTCAATGAGGAAGCCAGATTTGCTGAACAACGGTCTTAACAATTGCAGGGATTCACTGAACACACACATGGCAAGGACAGTCATAAAAGGGGACAAAACTCATTGAACGGCTGTCTTGTTCAGCCACAGAAATTGTTGGACTCCATTGCGGTCATAAGTCAAGGACTTTTACTTTACTTTACTGTTATTTGATTTGTATACCGCCCTACTCCCGAAGGACTCAGAGCGGTGAACAGCCAACAATAAAATACATATATACAAAATTTAAAAAGCAGAAATAAAATTGAATTAAATAGTTTGGCCCAGACAAA